AACAGAAGGCTGGATGAACTAAATTAATTCATACTTTATGGCAGGAGAAATTTGGGTTGAATGAAAGAAAGAGCTCTGTACTCAGTAGAGTGAGAGAACGCAGAGATCCTATGGCTGTAAGTTTCTGACCTGAAGAGCTTCAGGAAGAGCAGTGTCCTGGAGAGTCTGGACCATCCACTCACCTAGAAATTGGCCAACATCATCTCCAGAGGCTCCTCCTAGCACTGTCAGTGAATTGAGGACAGAAGTCCTGGCAATGTTCAAAAAATCAGAAAATGGAAGGGGTCTGACCATCCCATTGTCTTTTACACATGAGAAAGCAGACAACCATGCCAACGAGGGCTTCTGACTCCTGGTGACCAGGCCAGGAGTGAGAGACAGCTGAGTGGGACAACATTACTTGGGAGGGTTTCAGAATGTATAATGTTTAAACTGTGATGTTCTGAAAATGATTTGATTTCTCAGCAACACTGTACTTCCCTGTCACTGAACTGCTTTCCCTCAAAACTATTCATACTTTACATTACTGCTTTCTTCATCTACATAAATCCTGAGAATGAATACAGGGCGAAGCAACACAAATCTAAGTGAAAGGCAACCTGGCTTCATATTTGAGTTTTGTCACTTAGCAACTGTGTGACATTAAGCAAATCAATTTTAGTATCTCTAGACTTCATTTCTTCAACTGTACATCAGACAGTAAAAATACCTACTTTCATAAGTGATTGTGTTGGGGAAATGGGATTTAGTAAGAATCAGAAATACTTGGGTGTTGTTATTAATCAATCAACAAGTATTTATTAAGTACCTTAGATCATAGTGATGTCTCTGAGAAACATAAAACAAGATTTTCATGACTAAAGCCAACTAGAAAACTTAGGCAAGGGCAAATATTTATTACATACCTAATTTCATTTTTTGGTCAAATAATCCATTCCACTCTTCTCTTCTTTGCCTGGGCCAGCCCAGTGTCCATCAATCTCAGTCCCATGGCAGGAGCTGTTGGGGGCACTCCCTCAGGACAGGACCTGGCACACTACATGAAGACTTTGAATTCTTAGGTTTTGTCTTTGAGTGACAGTCTAGTTAAGTAATCCAAGAAGCCTTAATTGAGCATAATCCTTACCATCAAACCTAAAATTTAGCACTAATTTCAATTAGGAGATCCACAATCCCAATGTGGGTCCCCTGGAGTGGTACTGCAGCGTAATGCACTGGAATGCAAGGTCAGTTTGAACCTCAAGGTTGGCAGTTCAAGCTCACCAGCCACTCATTGGAAACCCTTTGCAGGGTCACTATGAGCCGGAACCGACTCGATGGCACTTCACATCAACAACTGAAATTTTCGTGAGGCTCATAAAGGGATATGGCACTGGCTTCCAGACACACAGCTCGCACATCTCATAGTCAAAATGCTTTGGCAGAAACTCCCTTCCTTGTTTCAATCCCCTTTTATACTTCTCGAACACTAAAGCTGGTGAGAGTGTGATTAAAAAGGGATTCTCATATATTTCCAGGATCAACATAAATGGGTATCAGAAGGTAGTAATTCCTCCCCACTTTTTAAACTTTTTATTTTGATAAGAGTTTAGATTTACATGCAGTGGTAAGCATTAATACAAAGAGATCCTGATTCCCTCCACCCAACCCCAACCAAACCCACTACTGTTGAGTTCCTTCCGACTCATAATGACCATACAGGCTAGAGCAGAACTGCTCAGTAGGGTTTCTGAGTTCATAAACCTTTACAGATACTAATTGCCATGGCTTCCTCTTTTGGAGCGGCTGGTGGGTTCAAACCATTGACATTTAGTTAGCAGTCAAACATTCTAAATGCTACACCACCAGGTCTCCTGTACTTCACCCAGTTTCCCCTAATGGTAACATCTTACAAGACCATAGCCCAATCTGCCAGCCAGGAAATTAACAGTAATACAACCCACCCACCTTATTCAGGTTTTGCCACTTTTACATGCACATGTGTGTGTGTTTAGTTCTTTGCAATTTTATCACATATATTGAAGAACAATTCTTCCCTTCCTCCTCTCCTCTCTTATTTCTAACAACCACTAAAGATGCAGAACAGTTCTTCCCTTCCTCCTCTCCTCTCTTATTTCTAACAACCACTAATCTGTCCATCTCTATAGTTTTGCCATTGCAAGAACGGGATGGAATCCTTTTAGACTGACTTTTTTTCTCCCAGCATTATTCCAAGTAATACTTGAATGGACGTGCCATAGTTTGTGTAACCATCCCACCATTAAAGGGTGTTTGAGCTGTTTCCAGTTTTAGGCTATTACTAATAAAGCTGCTCTAAACATTTATGTGCAGGTTTTTTGTGTGACCATATGTTTTTATTTATACGGTGGCTCCATATGATAAGCAGTGGACTGCAAACCATAAGGTCTGCAGTTCGAGCCTGCCCACAACTCCATGGGAAAAAGATGACGCTTTCTGCTCCCGAGATTTAAAGCCTTGGAAAACCTATTGAGGGTCACTATGACTCAGAACTGACTTGACAGCATATAACAGCAGCAACAAATATGTTTTTATTTCTCTTGGATAAATGCTCGAGTCCAATTCTTGGGTTGTATGGGGAGGGAGTCCTAGTGTGGCATTGTAGTGTGGCACTGGACTCTTAACTGCAAGGTCAGTGGTTCAAACCCACCAGGTGCTCCTCAGAAGTCATATACAGGGTCTCGATGAGTCAGAACTGACTCCACGGCACTTAACAATAATAACAATGGTGAGCATGTTTAATTTTGCAAGAAACTGCCATATTGTTTTCCAGAGTGACTTCCATTTTACATTCCCACTAGTGCTGTCTGAGCAATTCAGTTTGCATTTCCTCACTAGTATTTTGCATTATTGCTACTTGTTATTTGGCAAATCTGATAGGTGTATAGTAATAACTCATTGTAGTTTTCATTTGTATTTCCTTCATGACTTATGACATTGAACATCTTTTCATGTGCTTGTCTGCCATCTGTATAGCCTCTTCCATGAAAAAAATTATATCTTTTGCCCAGGTTCTAATTAAGCTGTTTGTTATTTTACTGTTGACTTTTGAGAGTTCTTTATATATTCTAAGTATAAGTCCTTTGTTAGATAAATGGTTTGCAAATATTTTCTCCCCATTTGTAGTTTGCCTTTTCATCATCTTCACGCAGTCCTTCTCACAGCAAACATTTCTAATTTTGATGAAATCCCATTTCCTTTTATGGGTTGTGCTTCTGGTACCCAGTCCAAACTTCTTTATTTAGCCCTAGGTTCTGAAGATTGCCTCCTATTTTTTCCTAAAAGTATTTTGGTTTTTGCTTTACATTTAGGTATTTACATTTAGGCCCTTGAGCCAATTGTAATTAAATTTTGTATAAGGTGTGAGATTTAAATTGAGGTTCTTTTTTTGCTTGTGAATGTCCAGTTGCTCCAGCATCATTGGAACAACTTTCATTTGAAAAACAATATGGCAATGCTCATCATAAACCAGAAAAATGCTCATAGCTTTTCTCCCATTACTTCTGGGGATTCATCCTAAGGAAATAATGTACAAACACAGATAAAATCTGGAACCTTGGAAAGCCGTCACTACAATTTTTCTAAACTTGAACAATTGTAGTTCATCTAAAGGCCCAGCAGTAGCATACTGGCTAATAAGTGGAACTCATTCAACAGATACCAAGTTGTAGGGAGGTCACTGCTGAAGTACAGGAAGTGGACATCATTTCTGCATTCTAGAAGACAGTCGACTAAAAGGGAGATGTGAAAAGACAATTCTGCCATGTAGAAATAATACGCTTGATAAACTAAAGAAAAAAAAACACAAAACAAAACTTACAGGTTTGTTGAAATAATTGTATGAGGTAAATGTACATAATAGCATGTGTGAAGTACTAAACAAACATAAGGAAGCTTACGATCAGCTTCCTTATTAAAACAATGTTAAAATATATGTATATGAAAAAGACCAAAAGCAAACAAACAAAATCATTCTTTTAGAATGGGATCAAGGGCAGTTTTTGTTTTTTCTATCCCCGTACTTTCCATACCTCTCACTGCATTGTTTTCTTTTTATAATAATAAAAAGAAAAGCTTCCATTGAGAAATAGCTTCTTGACACAAAAGGGTTAGGAATGTCCCTTTGAAGAGGTGACAGGCACACAGATGACACTCCAAAGGGCACAGAAAAGGCCACAAAAGATAGTTAAGTCTCCCAACTCCAAGATAAATCATGCTGGATTATTCAGTCAGTCAGCAAGTATTGACAACACAAGGTAACCTGTGTCACATGAAGTACTTAGAATATACAGTCCCTGACCTCTTGGTGTACTTACAAGACACTGATCTCAAGCTTCCTTGTGTTTGTTTAGTACTTTACACATGCTATTATGTACATTTTCCTCATACAATTATCTCAATAAACCTGTAAAGTTGTTAGGGAAGGCATCATTATCTTTTTTTCATCTGTTTTTTATTCATTTGTCAGATGTTAAGGTGTAGGGTCCTGGTGTGGATATTGTCAGATGTTAAGGTCCTGCTATAGGATAAGCACTGGACTGCTAACCACAGGTTGGCAGTTCAAACCCACCAACCGTACCTTGGAAACACTACACAGGGTCACTCTGAGTCGGAACTGACTGGACAGCACTCAAAAACAAGGTACAGAGAACTTAAAAAACCCAAGGTCACACAGATAACGAATGGCAGGCCTTGGGTTGGAGACTTGGCTTTCTGTCTCTAAGGCCAGTGCAGTGCTCAGAGCACTACAACTGCCTTAGTAACAGCTGTGAAATAAGCAGGCTCAGAGCAGGTAGCCACAATCAAAATGTAAAAGATGTTAGATGTTAGAAAGCAAGTATCTAATGTCAAAGAGTGGTGGTACAGAGAGGTTGGGCAGAAGCCAGGCCTCCTCTCCCATGGTGTACTTGGGCCTAGGGGTTGAGGTAATGAGGGATGTGTGACATGAACAGCTGGACTCACCTCTAACTTCCTCTCCCCAGATGGTGAAGGCAATTCAGGTGCTGAGAATCCACCTGCTGGAGTTGGAGAAAGTCAATGAACTCTGCAAGGATTTTTGTAACCGTTATATCACCTGCCTCAAAACCAAGATGCACAGTGATAACCTGCTCAGGAATGACCTTGGGGGGCCCTACTCCCCTAACCAACCCTCCATAAACCTACACTCACAGGTAACACATTGGGCTGGGCTCTATCTCCTAAGCCAGGCTCCTCAGCCAGGTGGGTAGGAATATCGAGAGGTCCCCTGGTGACCTAGGAAAAGGAATTTGACTCTCTGTACCTTTAACCATGAGTACCCTCCTCTGATCAGCTCCTATTTGTCCATGTGCACAGTTCCTTCTTTTTGCCCAAACTAGACCATGCTAGGTGTCATTCATCCCTGGAAGATGGCCATAGCTGATAAGGACAGTATCCAAAGGGATTCTTAAAATTCCTACAATGACTTTTTGGCCCAAAATATCTAAAGAAGGTTAGGAGATGGAAAGCTTTCCTAGAGAATGGGGCAGATACAGAGCTGAGAATGGACCCAGACATCCTGACCCAACTGAATTCACAAGATGGCCTGCTGAGCAACCTGTGCTCCTAGGTTTGGGAAACGTGGCCATTCCCTGAATCCTACCCACCTATCAGATAAAGACAGCTTCCCTAGGCCAACTACCCCTGACTGTTCACCAGTTGCTCTTCTTACCCTGGCCCATCTGCCTCCCTACAGTTCAGGGTCACTGTAATTGTCACTTCATGTCACCTCCCTTTTAAGATTCACCTGCCACCTTCAGTCTGAGAACTGAGAAATGAAGAAACGGTAGCTACATTTTCTACCCTAGCATCTGTTCTCTCCTTGGCAGAATATTTTCTCCAAACCTACTAAGAAAGCAACTTTTTCACCAAGGCATTGGTGTCTACATGAGCTATAGCCTTGCCACTTTGTTCCCTCCCATTGAGTTCTAGCCTTTACTTCACACCCAGAACAGAGATGTGGAGGTTGACAGGAACTTATTGTTTTCACCTCTTCTCATGAGACAACTGGGCTTGGGAGAAGGGTAAATTTTATAAGAATGTATGACAAGAGATGATAGAAGTGTGTCTGAGCAAAGATGTGCCATTTTTATCCCTAGGTTTTTTAGGTCTCTAGCTCCCAGGGTAAGGAGCTCTGGTACTGTAGTGGTTATGAAGCGGGCTGCTAACCTCAGGGCCAGCAGTTCAAAACTACCAGCTTTTCTGCTCTCATAAAGATTTACAGCCTTGGAAACCCTGTACAGGGTTGCTATGAGTCAGAATCGACTCCACGGCACATAGCAACAACAAGCTTCTAGGGTACAAATAGTTAACTGATTCAGCTGCTAAGCCAGAGTTTGGCAGGTCTCTGGTAGCGTAGTGGTTACGAATCGGCCTGCGAACCTTAAGGTCAGTGGTTCGAAACTACCAGCCGCTCCGCGGGAGAAAGATGAGGCTTTCTACTCCCGTAAGGATTTACACCCTCGGAAACCCTGTACAGGGTCGCTATGGGTCGGCTCCGACTCGAAGGCACTTAACAACAACAACAATTCCACCTAGAGATGTCTCAGGGAAAAAGGCCTAGTGATCTCCTTCTGAAAATATCAACTATAGGAAACCCATTGGAGCAGAGTTCTACTCTAAGGTACATAGGTTCACCATGAGTCAGAGTCAACTCAGTGACAACTGGTTGGGTTTGTTTGTTTAGGTTTTATTTTTGTTGTTGTTTGTTTGTTTTTGAACACATCATCTGTCTCTTCAGGTTGGATAGAGACAGGGACAGGATAACAACAAACACAGAAGATATACTCAGTATACCAACCCCACCCCAAAGGGATCTCTGTGGACTTGTAGTGGACATGGTGTGAGGAGTACTGCCTGAGACACAGGGCATGAAGTTTATTTCCTCTTCCTATAGCTTGAAATCAGCAAATCACTTTATTACAGATCTAAAAACATCGGCCCAGGCTTCTGCTTGCTAATATTCTCTTGAAATAGACTCATTCCTTTAGAGTTTTATTGTACTTTCCCTTATGATCAAAATTAGCAAGAAACTTGCATAAAAGAGGACAATAATTGCTCAACGAGCATCTCGTTTGTAATTTATTAGTTTCTATTATTGTGGGTTTCCATGGCAACGAAGCGCAGTCCCAGTGATGGGAGAGATGCAAGATAGGCGCGGAGGAGGCTGTGAGGCCTCACCAAATGGAGATGCACATTTTTATCAGTAATTTTCATGAAAATAATAAGTGAGGAGTTAATGAGATGGAAAGCCATCCTGTGGCTATTGTGCATTTTTTTTAAGTGTTGATCTAATTAGAATGCATCGGTCAGGAAAAGTAATGAGGATTTAGTGCCTCACAGAGATGTGAGGATCATATCAGAAAATTAGCACAAGTCTTTGGAAATAATCAGGTCCTTGGAGAGGCACTGTATTTCCCCTCCTGGGCTATCCAACTTTACCTTGAGCTTTAGAGTTGGGGGTGTGCCTGGGTGGTGGGGAAAGCAAAAGAGGGAGAACAGTTAGTAGCCCTAGTGGCCCCAGAGGGCTGGGGGTACAAAACTGACAAGTTGGGTAGATGAAACAGGGTCACTGGAGATGAAGGGTTTGTAGAAAAGGAAAGAATGGACTCTGGGTGGTCAAGGGCTCAGCGATGCCATCTGCAAAACTCAGTACTCCTGGGGAAGCCCAGTACTCAGGGTCTCTTTGCTGTGAGGAAAGAGAACAGCCTTTGATTCCTATCATTGTATAGAACCAGTCTCTGCCAAGTGTGAAGCTGACACTGCAAAAAGACCTCTGATGTGCTTCTAAAGAGGAGCCCAGACAATCAAGCAAATACAAAGACATCAAGAAAGGGAGGAAAAGACTTGCCAAGTTATTCCTACTTGGTAGTTCTCAAACTTCCCTCTTCATTTTCTCTGACTGCCACCACCTACTTTAGGCATCAGTGAGTAAATAAGGAAATGACACACAAGCTGCTGTAATAGATTTCCAACTTACTCTTACACACCTGTCTTCTCCGTCAACCCCTCAGCCCTCCTACATACACACACACGCATGCATGCATGCATGTACAAACACACATGTGTGCACACACATTCCTATTAAACCTCTGGTACTGAATTTATCTTCCATAAATTCTGTTCATGCTCTTCACCTACTCAAAAACCCGGATTAGTCCCCAGAGTTTTCTTTGTTTTTTTTTCACCTGACATTCAAGGCCCTCCTAGATCTGGCCCAGCTGCCTCAGAAAATCTGACTGCTTGTGGTGTATCACCTCGGCATCTCTACAAGACCAAGTGTAGCCTCTTCTCTAAGTGCAGTAACAATGCTTCTCTTCCTGGGGGACTCCCCAGCTTCCCATCCATAACGGAGTGTCCTTTCTCTATACTAACTGCTGGAACACTTTGAGCCATTTATTTACATGTTAAATTTCACATATTGCTTTACATTAGTTTACATACATTTCAATTTCTTCTTTTAGCTAATAATATATAAAATGCTGCCTTAGTTTAATTGAAATGGTATTTTATGTATTATTATATCCCAAACGCAAGGTGGCTTACCACTAGGTCTTGTGCATAATAGGTCAGTAAACATTTATTGATAAAAGCAATGTAGTGAGAAAGATGTAAAGAGACAGAACAGTGGTAGCAAGAGGAAACCAAAGGAGGACAGGAGAAATAGGGAGAAAGATAAAGGGTCAACATTCAAGAAGAAGGGGGAGACAGGCTTAACAACTGGAGAAGAAGAGAAACAAAGAGAAAGAGTCAGGAAGAGATGCAGACCTCAGGAAAGGGAGGTGAAGCTGAAGAAAGACTAAGGCAGAGAAAGGGGGAGGTGGGAAAGCAGCAGCAATAGTGAGTTGATGAAAAAGGTGGGATGGCAAGATGGGTGTAAGGGCAAGTGGACAGTCTGGGGTATGTGGAGGAAAAGGAGGTGAGCAAGATGCACCATACGCTGTCTTCACCCTCATTCCCAGGCCAGACTCCTGTCACTGTCTCACTGAAGAAGGGGTGGGGTCCAGCATGAACTCTTCCAGGAAGGAGAGACTGTGAGAGTGTGTGTCCCCTGGGGTTGCCAAGGAGTGAGCACCAGAGACTTCTCAGTGTAGGAGACAGGCCTTGGGTCAAGGCATGGGTGCCTGTGTGAGAGATGTGTGTGTGTGTGTGTGTGTGTGTGTGTGTGTATGCATACGCATTCGCCATGGTTCAACCTTAATCCCCCCAGCCTGAAATAGCCGCACTGAGCTCCAGACTGGCCCAGGGAGGGGTGTCTCTCCTCTGGAACTTGATCTTCTGGATCAACATTCCAGTCGCCTGTCAGCTTTGTTGCACACTGCTGGCTCATGTTTTTCCCAATGTTTTAATCATTCAGCCTTGTGTTGCAAAGTGGGAGACATTTTTTGTTTTTCTAATTGCTACCCCCAGATACCTACCATGCTGTATCCAGCACTATGGAGTCTGGGCATATTCCCTGCTCAGCCTTCCATTTCTGTATGTGAGTTTCTATGAGAGTAGATGGAGCTGGAGAGTGGGGAGACAACCTCTACCAGGCAGGAGAACTAAAATAGAGTTCCCAAGGACTTGGGCCAATCCTGATTCTTTCCACCTGCTCAGGAAGCCATCTGGTACTGCCTACGTCCAATAGCACCCAGGGTTCCTAACCTTTCTGGCCCAGTCTTCTTACAAGGGCAGTGTCTTTATTCTAGACCCCACTCTAGAGTTTCTTGTCTTTAACTGTAGAACATGCATTAAGCCATTCCCCCAGAGGGGAATGACTCCTGCCTGTCTCACCTATTAATTTTCCCTGAAATTAATCCCTCTTTCTCCATGGAGATTTAAGCCTCAACTCCAATTCACAGTAAATGCAACTGAGCTGTGGCTCTCATTCCATTGTCAAGCATTTTGGGGCACATAGCATAGTAGTTACAAATCGGACCGCTAACTTCAGGGTCAGCAGTTCGAAACCACAAGCTGTTCTTGGGGGAGAAAGCTGAGGCTTTCTGCTCCCATAAAGATTTACAGCCTCAGAAGCCCTGTACAGGTTCGCTATGAGTCGGAACTGACTCCACAGCACATAACAACAACAACAAATTGTATAGCACTGTGCTAGGTTCTGTGAGAGCATAAGTAAAATGTCCAGGTGGAGCTCCCAATCTCAGTGGAAGGAAGC